TACCTCTCTACAACAGCCTCTTTCTTCTGTTCCCAAAGTGGCCTTGTGGAGAAGTTTGACAGTGTTTACTCGACATGTACTTACTGTGCAATACTTAAAATACAGCACGATTCTTACTCTACTTATAATACTAACTCTCACAGTTCAATACAATACATGGAGGGAACACAGTGGTATGAAGATATGAATTTTATTTCCGAGGGGTAAACACAGTGTTTTACAAACAATTGCAGCATGTAAGTAAAATCTTGCTTTTTAAGACAAGGAAATAGAATTCTTCAAGCCACCATGTAATTTCCTTTTATGATGTAGACAAAGTGACTGTTTGCACAGACAATGGTGAAAAAGCAGGAAATGGCATTTTTTTGATCATCAATATCCTCAATGGTGAGAAAATGGAATACACCATAAACAGAACTCAAAATCAAACCATTTCCCTGATTAATTTACATAATTGCACACCATGGGCCCCGCCCTGAATTCGCTACTTTGAATAATCTCCTGTCCTCCTTCAGGTATTAGAATAACCAACATGCATTGCCATTTATACAATCTTTGAGCTATTGCTACAAAGACTCCAGGCAATATTGTAATCAGCTTGTATTAATTTATTCAAAATCATGTCCCCTGAGTCAGTGTGTGTGTAGGACACTGCATGGCTTTGAGCAGCTCACTGCAATAATCCTACTCCGATCCCCCACATCGTTTTTACACAACATATCAGGTCATCGTTGTTGTCAAAGTTCCTGCCCAGGTAGATAACTTGGGATTTTTCAACTTAATTTGCAAATTACTCCCTGACGTCTTCTACACGTGCATTAGATATAGGAGTATGGGTAAAAACGATCAGCGAAGCATACGCTCTTTTTGCAGAGTGTTTGCTCCCTTGATCAAGTGAAATAAAGCTGTCTGTCTTTGGTAGAGTTTCAGGATCGTAAGCTTGGGTACTGTCATCTCTAATAAGGTAAATCCATGCTGCACGAAAACAGCGATGAAAGATGCAGTGTGACAAGACGGCATCAGCAACGCGTAAGGAGTTCTCACTGGGGGAGGGAGTGTTTGTGAAGCTTAACCCCCTAAAAAAAAAATAAACCATGGATTTACGGCGAGGTAGTCAAAAACCCTGCGTCAAGGGCTTGCCTGGTTAGCACCCCATTGGGACCGATTTGTCAGAACCACTCTCAGATCAGGAAAGCACGCATAGAGCCTATGCACCACCATTCAGCGAAACCTGATGATTTGGAAACAACATCTTTGCCTGGAATTGGAGACATGCCAGCAGACAAAAACCAACCAGCAGACCAAGCAGTCGAAAAAGCAAAACCCACATATAGACCCAGCACACCCATGCTGGAATCAGAACCCACACAATCAGGTGCTACGCTACAGAGATTGTCAAGGAATTGGCATATGCCCTCCAGTTCCAAAGACTATTTAATGCCCATAGTTCACTACCTCAGAAAATCTTGAGGGACAAAAACAGTAACTAATAAGACATCAATAAGCCGACCACATCATTGCCACTATTGCTTTGTTGCTTTTCTTTTGTTTTCAAAAGAAGAAGGGTGTTGTACATGCAACAAATTGTACATTCCAACATGTCGGCACGCACTATCACTTGCACTGTTTGTATGAATAAGAACTGGCTTTTGCATGATAAAGTTACCTGA